AGAAGAATTTTCCTTGCACCACATTAAATAATTCACCTTTATATAGACTGCATAAACTGCTTTTCTGAAGAGGAGCAAACAATTACTGTCCCATTTATATAAGTGACAGTGTATGGCTTCTCACAGATTGGCAGCCTGTATCCCACACTGTGTTTGGCTGTGCAGTTCTCTCTCTGTGTCTGGTCGTTTTCTTACATTTGGCAAAAGGAAAGTTATTTCACAGTAAGAATGCAGGATTGTGAGGCATAGCAAGATCTTTGGAGTGAGGTCTTCCTGCCTTCAGATGGCCTTTAGTGTCAGTGCTGGAAATGCTCTCACATTGAAACAACCGCTGTAATAACCAGGACATTTAACAGGATAATGTCCATGTAGCATATGTAACATTTCTGGGGTTCAACAGAATGTGCAACAACTCTATTTCTCCTGTTTCTGAGGAGCCATGGGTTTCTGTTTGGCAGTGAAAACTTATCTTTTTCTCTTTGTATCCAAAGGTAAAGTTCCACATTTTGGAACAATTCACATCATGTTTGTCCTGGAGCAAAAACCTGAGCTGTGCTGCAGATTCTGTAGTTCACATACTAGTTATTGTTCAAAGGTTTTGCGTGTTCCAGCATCCCCTCCAGCCTTAGTAAGCAAAAAGTAATAAAAAAAAAAAACCCTTGCCCTTACAGTAGCCTTTCAAGTACAGCCATGCATGACCTAAGAGTTGTAACTCTGATTGCCACAAGCTATGTTTTACCATGGAAGTAATCCTTCCCAGGCCTCCGGTTCCTCTTCTGCTTGCCAGCAGCCAGCATAAAGCTAAGCCTGTTTCACAACAACAAAATCTTTCATTCAGGTCTTAAGAAGTCTTTAAAAAGACTTCTTAAAATGCTTTAAAAAGAAAAAAATAAAAAAATTACAAGTGTGATCTACAAGTCTGTTACGCCTTGAAGATATGCTTCCAAAAGTACATCCCAAACTTTTTTTCCTTTGCACTATTGGAAAATGATGAGGTGGCAACTACATGGCATAAATATAATCTCTTGCTGCTGGCTCAGGAATAAAAATCCTCATTTCTACCCTGAAAAAAACTTAGGCCTCCTTGTTACAATTCCTAAAAAGGCCCTGAAATTTTGTAACATTCGCTTCAGCACTTTTAATGATGTGCTGTTAGCAAGAAATATTCTGAGAGCTGTAGCACATTCCTACTTCAGATTCACAAGAAACCTAACAGTTCCTTCCCTCTTAGGACTTTCAATCACACTTTCTGCCTAAGGCAGGAAAACTTTTTTGCCACTAAACAATTATCCACAAGTCATTTGTTTCAACTCAGCAAAGAATTTACAGGAAAAACTTATGAACTACGTAAGTAAGAGATTAACTTTCCCTTTGTAAAAAGCTATTACTTTCCCTCTCACCTTGTTCTTACTAGATATGTCATGCCTAAATCATACTGAGAAGGTGGATCTTACTCCTTACCCATACAAAATTTTTGACCTATAACAGGTTTGCAGCAGTTAAACCCTGTAACATCACCGACCACTCTGTTATCATTTGAGACTGCCTTTGCAATCTATGTGGAACCGAAGCACAAAAGCCTCCCGAAACACTGCATAATTGAGAAGAACAACACAACATCTCCAGTCCAGGTTTCTATAATATCTATGCAGAAAGTCTCACAAAAATTAAACACTTACCTGTATTCTGATCCCACACACAAGCAGACATTTCTTTTGCCAACTCTCCTGGTCCTTACTTTGCAGAATGCCTGTGCTCTGCAGGCAACCAGCCCCTGAAAGCTGCCTCTCACCTCTCCAATCTTTCCAGCCACCTGGAACGCCTGCTTTCCCCACATTGTAAGACTTTTTCAGGTTATTGCCTCAACAAAGCCTCTATCATCCCTTGATCATTTGAGGAAAATTTCTAAGAATTGCTTCAATTCCTTTGCACAACATACAGCTCTTGAGCTATGTTAGTCATCTCTATATCCATGAAACCTTCCATTATTTGTTCTCCGTGGCGCAGGCTGTTTCTGCTAAAAGAGAAAATTACAATAAAGCTACATATTTATTTCAAGCACTTCCATTTGAAGCTTAGATACAGTAGCAACATCTTTGCTTATATCCCCCAAACTCTTTCCTGGGAGTAATCCACAAAAAAAAAAAAAAAAAAAAAAAAAATAAAAAAAAAAAATCTTTCTCTTGGCTTCTCTGAGAACCACATCACCAGTTCTTGTTGCTGCTGTCTGTTTCTTTCTAACAGCTCCACTTCTACCAAATAGAAACCATTCTCTGGCACAGCTCTATCCATACAGCTCCACTTCTCTTCAACTTCTCACAAGGGCAGCACTCTTATGATTATCTCCATTTGCTTTAAAAAGAACTGCTTTCTCTATTATTTTTGCTGAAAGGTATTCATAGCATACACTTCCACAAAAACGTTCCCCGCTTCTGTAAAATACTACAAATTCAGTGCTCAAGCAGAGACCAACAAAAATATTTTGCATTTTTTTTTTTCTAAGTGCACCCCAAGAACATCACGTGTACACAAATGATTTTAGCACCTTCGGTCTTCAAATCATGGCCTTGATTTAGCACTGCAGTGTTCCTTGCGAGTAGCAGGAGTGTCACCTGTACCAGGAGTGGCCCCACCTGGGCCTAGAGAGCATCCTGCCTTCAGCCAGCAGCTATGCAGACCTACAGCAGTAACAGGGAATCACCTGCTAAGGTCTGCTCAAGAAAACAGTGATCATTTCACTATTTCCCATATAAATTGGTCATTTCTTATCCTTAGAAACATCAGAGTGGACAATAAGAAAACGTTGTTCTTATGCAGAAATCTTTTGTCTCAAGCTTAATCCTAAAGTGGCTCTTCCCATCCAAGCTATTATATCATGGGAAATACTGATAAAATGTTTACCACAATTCCAGTTAGCCATTTTCTAATGGAGGATACAAACCAATCACTTGCATTATGTTGCTTAAAGAATGCAAAGAAAATCAAAAGTGTAATGATTGCTACTTTATTAGCATAAAACTAGAGTATCTGAATACCTAATCGACTGAAAATGCAAGGTATTCCTTTTTAGAGTACAAAGAATTTCTTAAATGAATGTGAAAACATCTCTTTTAGGCAATTTCTTCAGTCTCACTGAAAACTTGTCTTTGCTTCAGGTTTACATTATGGGGTTAGAAAACATGAACTAATGTTGATGTAAAAGCCTATCTGTGACAATAGCTCAGAACACTAACTGCAAAATGCTATCAATGTATTTACATTTCAAGCTCCATTTATGCTGATATTTAAGCACATAAACGTTCATGATATTATAGAACAAAAAATTAAGTATACCTACAAAATACAAAAACCAGAACAGAGTGCAGCCAGCACTTCATGTGTTACGGACAAGAAACTAGGATAATAATGGTTAGTAATATTGTGAGATATATGAAAGCTGACTGCTGCAACTATGTTCATAATACAAGACATTTCTGTGTTAAACTCTGAGAGAAATACAATGTGTGCAACATTTCATCATCTTACTTCAAATGAACTCTAACATCATTATGTTTCTATTTTCACAGATAAGCTGAACAAACCAGGGACATTGGGTTTTAAATCATCCATACATGCATTTTATTAAACTGTTTCTAAAAGAAACCATGTAAACAAAACATTTTTCCACTATGACTTGGTTTCGTTTGTTGTTTTGTTTGTTTGTTTTTAATTTGAGGCTCATTACAGCTCTTCTGTGCATAATTCATTCCAATATTGTGTGTCATTCATACAGAAATAAGATACAGTCTTGTTATGGGAAAACGACATAAAACTATAGAAATACAGAAATTAGCTTTATTCACAAAAAAAAAAAAAAAAAAATCCACTTTCAATTAATTTTTTAATCAATGATTTTCATCTTACAGTGTCTCGTCTCCCTTGGAATAACCAAAACAAATAGGGAGCAGGGAGGGAGGAACCTATAATCTTGAATGAGACTGAATAGGTGGAGAGGGGAAAGAGACTTACAAACTCCCAAAAATCCCATGATGATGCCCCTCAGAAAAAATACTTCCCTCATCTGGAACTCTGCATTACTTCCACTGAAGCCATGAAACTATCCTGGTTGGCTGCTCATATAGATTCCTTTTCAAGATCTATCAATTACAACCCTTATCTACAGTCCACATATATTACAAATAATGTTTTCAGAGATGATAAAGAGAGAAGGGAGTTGTATTCCAGTGCCTCCCTCTAAACATGCCTTATAGTAACAAACCTGCCTGAGACATCTAGATACATCTCTGGAAATAACAAGAGCCCACCCAAGGCTGGGGGAAGCACATCCTTCTGTGGAGCAGAGCACATCTCATTAAGATTAGAACAGATGCTCTGGATGCAATGCATTCACATAAGAACAACTGTGCAAGTAGGGCTGATGTTCAGTTTGAGTTTTTACCCCAGTGTCAGTGTACCTTTCTTACTCCATCTTTTGTTTTCTTCACACTTAATAAAACAAGGGATTCATAGAGGCCAATTAAACCACAGTTTTATCCTAAAAAAACTTGTTTATCAAGTCATCAGTCCTACTGCTACAGCTTTCATTACAGCCTGACTTCCACAGCAAGGTATGGTTACATGGCTGTGCTGCCCATAAGGACGCATGCATATTTTTACTACACTTTTTCTTAAAGTTTTAAATTCTACTCATTCCAAGTAAAATGAGGTTAACGACTGAAGGAAGTTCTAACAGGTTTGATGAACATAGGTAGCACACTGAGAAGAAAAATATTACTGATCCTTTAATGATTTATGCAGATCATAGCCAGTATCAGACACAGGGAAATCCCCCTGGGAAAGCAGTCATGAGTGCCTTGCCTACAGGAAAGGTTTCATGCGTACAATTTAGACACAAGCCAGTCCACAGGACTTTATATATTTATAATTTATATTAATAAGACTTTAATAAACAAACTGTTCAAAGATTGTTTATATTGTAATATTCACAAGAAAGTTAGCTCTTTATTTGTTAAAACATTTTTCTGTGCAGTTTTTTCTTTTTTTTTTTTTTCCTTTTTTTTTTTTTTTTTTGCAAGTAAAATGTGTTACTCCAGTAAGTATATATATTTCATTTACTTTTCAGACACTGAGACATGCCCTCTTAACAATTCTCGGGAGCTCTGGCTTCGTTTCCTCGCGTTTTGTATTTCTATGTCTCCTTCACTTCCTTTGGAGGGAGGAACATGCACCACAGCATGCATTTCGATGACTTCTGTGCCCCAGGGGCTCACAGGCTTACCATCTCTTTTACCAATAAATGCAAACATACCATCTGTTAACAGACAGCTGCAACATTCTTCCAAAAGAACAACCTTTAAAAATATTGTTTACTTGTCTGAACACAAGATATCTCTCCTATCCTTCAAAATAAGTGACTGATTGACGGGTAGGCAAAAACGTTTGCTTTGACAGAATCAGACTGACATCAGTTTTCATGTTCTTCTTTGCTGTCTGAATAGTATCAAGCTGATCAGATTTGTAATTCTTCTGAAGCACATCAAATCAAGCATAAATACCACAGTACTTTCTGCACTAGACTTGTTTATTTGAGCAGTGTAAGTTAGTAAGTAAAAAAGTCACCTGTGATAATGGCACCGTGATTGTTTTCTATATTTCTTTCTATGGCTCCTGGAATATAAAAATCACATAGCTTCTTTGAAAAGCCCTGTCCAAAGAGTTAAACAAGAAGGCATCAGGTAAAAGTAACATTCCAGAAAATGTTGTAAACACGAGTTCACAACCAAGTGTGACTGGAGCTGGAGCCGCTTACCCCACAAATGGCTTTTCTAAAGCAGCTAAATGTCATAGCTTTTACAGTAGTGAGGAAGAAGTTTGAGGAGAGTCTGCACTTACACTTGCAAGAAAGATAGCCATAACTGTATGCCTCAGTTACTTTTGCAGTCATACACAACCTGAGATCATGTGACAAGGAAAATCATGCCATTCAATTCCCAAAATTAACAGAAAGAATATTCAGCTGATTTATATGCAAGCTGGGTAAGGCCCCAGCTAGACTTAAATAGCCAAGATGTTGACATGGGTTGGAACAAAGTTCCTTACCGTTCTATTTCCAGAACACCAGAGGATTTCAAAGATCTGGCTGAGGACATACAACCACCAAAGAAAACACTACAACTGGCTTTCATCTCAGCCGATACACAGTTTTTAAATCAATTTAAATTCTCCACTTCAGTGGTTTTATACATTTTACAATAAAAACTAACATTAAGAGAAACATTTCTAGGATTTTTATATCTGAAGTCACATGAGCTCTTTCTTTAAATCAACATTCAAGTATTTATAGATTCAAGTAAATAGAGAAAGAAATGTTAGCAGACAAACACCTAAAGGTTGTTAAGTTATGCTATCCTCTCATGCTAAGATCTGTTTGCTATGCTTTTTAGAAAAATACCTTTACATAGGCATCCAAAATGAAATTAGTCACAATTTCTAGAAAGCCATTATGGAAGACCACCATCACAAGAGATGAAAAACAAAGCATTGAAAATCAGGACTGTAAAACAGTTCAATTGAAAGATTATTATTCTAACACTGTTTTCTCCTAATATTTCATATTTATCATGCAAATATCATAATTAATTCCATATTCTTCTGAAAAAGTTATAGTATGCATAGAAGTCAAAAAATCAATTCTTAACATACATGTTGCTTTCTCATTATTGCAACTCCTGTTTTTTTCTTTTTCTTTTTTTGTAGATAAGTTTGCTTGTCAAAATAGTCTTTATTTCCCAGAAGAATCTGCAGTCAAATACTACTTTTCTCATGGAGTCCAGTGCTTTATTTTTATTTTAAGAGAGGAGGCACAAACTCAGAGAAGAGATTTGCAAGTCCTGCAGTTTCAAATTCCTTTTGTAGCTCATCCAGCGTTGAATATTCTTTGACTTCAAACATCTGAAATCTACATTGTACAAGAGAAACTCATGAATATGCCTCGGTTTGTCAGAATGTAATTATCGATTCAGTTACTTTTCTATCCACAACAGTATTAAATTATACCTTTTATGCTGTGACTGTACTTTTGTCTCACACAGTACACTAATCATTTTCTCTTTGCATTTCTTTCCGCTCGAGTCCACATCTACCTTAGAAGTTTTCTGAAGAATCAAGTACTCCTAAGTGTCAAAAAGAACAAAATATTAAATGTCAGCCAGCATCTTTGAAGTTTAGTGAAACTCAGAAATCCATATGAAACAAAGATCTTTTTAGAACACAGTAATCACATATTGAAAGTTCATCCCAAAAAATGCATGCCTGTTTCAACACATCACCTTGAAGCTGAGCACAGTCTTAAATAATCTAGAAAACATTGAGTTTGAAAGATCAAAACTTTCTCCTCCAGTATCACCTTATACAGGCCTGCCTAATGCAGCAGGATTACATAAACAAGTTCAAAAGTACAGTAGGAGCACCACTGTACTTGGTGACAAGGAAGAAGACAGCTAGGAATTAACTACTAGTATCTGTTATTACCTTCTGATCACAAATTTCCTGGCTTCGGGGTTATTTCGTGGGGTGTTTCAGAAACAAGGAGACTGACTCTAGCATATTACAGTCAGGAAACACAGGGGAATGCCAGAGCAGAATCCAACGGGACATGAGCCACAGGCTTCACTGGTTTCTTTCTTACAGAATAACTTATTTTTCTTAAACATGGAATCAAGTTGTTGGGCCTTCCTATTCTCCTATTGATCAATCTGCTTCCAAAATTGCTAATCTTGGAAAAACACACAGAAAATATTCAGACACAGGTTTCAGTAGTAAATCAATAGAACTAGTCAACATTCATTGTTCCTGCACCTTAATGTTGCTCTTGTCACCCTGAAGAAGAATCAATATTATCTTGCCCATGAACATCAGTCTTCCAGTCAGTTTTAGATCTGAAGCCCATTTTTCCACAGTTCTGACGTATTTTGCCTTTGCTCTCATGTGATCTAAATGCAAAAGGAGCATCCAGACAGCATCCTCTGTACTTGCTCCTTTTGACAAAGTGGTTTTTTCATTGCAAACTGTTGCTGGTTGCTTAATGATATACTTAAGATGCTGCTGTATCCAAAGAACCAGTTCATGCACCATGGGTTCAGAAAGATGCTTCTTTGCTTGTTCAAGTAATTTATCTTTTATGTCCATACACTGGGCCCTTGTAAGCTGGTCTGAGCTAACAGAAATTTCTGGTAGAGTTGATGGATAATTGACTGGTAAACGAAACAGCAGCTTTAAAAGTATATCTGCATCCAGTAGCTCTTTCACGCTGATTTGAATTCTAAATGTGACTCCATCTGTTTCTGGAAAGTACAAAAAATAAACATTAATAGTTTGCTTAAAGTTGAAAAACATTATTAAGTTTTGCTTTCATCTTTTATCAATTCAACTCAATGTCATTCTGTACTAAAAATGTAGTGTTTTTCTTGGAGGGATGAGGAGGTGCAACCAATAACTGTAGCTTCACTTGCAGGGAACCCTAAAATGAAACACTTCCATGTCATACTGGAAGGAAAATTATTTAACACATTCCAAAAAGCATTCACACTTCTTGGCTCCTTTAAAGTCTACTCAAGCCAGTAACAAAGAATTGTCCTAAAAACTTAAGTCAGCTTCTACAGCTCAGCAGCAGCAACAAGGACAAGTGGAAAGAGGGAAAGAGCACTGCTGTAACTGTGCTCCTAGAAAAAACAGTAGGGCTTTTACCATCAATGCCAGCACGGTCTTGTGTATTTTTGAAGATTTAACCATTCAAAGGCAGTTTAACACAGAAAAGAGACAAGGAAAGAAAAAAAGTTACAAGTTCTTCATCCCTTGCAACTTTCTGAGAAATTACATTTAGTTATTTTGTCAACTTCTCCACATTCTCAACAGTGGGACTGAGACAATCAAAACATCTCTGTTGTACATTTGATCCAAAATACTACACACATCCATACATATATCCATATATATATCCATAGCTCATGTTTATACACCTGCATAGGTACTCAAAACATGTTCTCAGTGTACTCCAGAACAGAATGATATTCAACATGAAAAGTATACAGCGTAAGCATACAGGAGAAAAGACCACATTCTCCTGATACATCACATAATTTAAATCAGTGAATATGAAAGGACAGTAATTCCTGCAATACACCCCTTCTTGTTTCATAGGAAAAAAAAAACAAAAAAAACAAAAAACCCACAAAACTTGATAATGTGAAAAGAGGGGACAAAGACCTGACCTCCTCTGCAATCAAAACAGAGGGTATCAGATAAAAGGTGAACTTCCTCACATGTTCTCTGCTTCACCCCTTTGATGCATTCCAAACACTTCACCCCAATTCTCACAAAAATTGCTGCCGTGTCAGGCTGATTCACTCTAGGAGGGCAGGAGAAGCCAGATTTGAAAGGGAGACGAGAGCTGAGATGAGTTTCTGAGGAGCTCTTTTGAAGTGACGTGCTGCCTTCCCCCCCTGCCTTACCTTCCTTCACATGACAGTTAGCTGAATTATGCCTGATTAGCATTGCTGACACCGCTAACCAACCTCAGCGCTCTCTGTGACTTTATATTTAAACACTGTGAAGTGAAAGACACTAAAAGTGACTTGGACAGACAGATGTACTTGAGAGAGCTTAGACAAAGGTCTGCTTCCAAACTTCCTTCCTGATTCACACAAAGAATACTCAAAGGCAGAGCAGCCACAAAATAAAACGAGCAAACCCTCCAAACTCAATAACTGAAGTACAGCATTACGATAGCATGGGCTGCCAAGCCCCCAGCCTCTGGCTGAACATCAGTATCACCTGATGCCTGCCCAACAGCCGCTTCATTTTACACCATGTTGCCTATATACTTTGAAACACAAAGCCTACAAGTGAACTGAAGAAGCAGCCAGGCCAACCTTGCTCCTTCAGCAAGGACCTGCCACTGCCATGCATGCACCCATTTGCCTGCCACATCCTCACATCTTTCCCTGCACGATGGTCTCAGAGCAGTCGTGCAGCCTCATGTCCCAAAGCAGACTCCTCTGAGCCTGGCCATGTCCATTTACATCTGCTTCAGACTTACTTTTAAAAAGGAGAACTTGTTCAAAACATGCGGTGTGCAAAGTTTATTTAAGCACAGTGGTGCCCACATTCTGCACCAGCCTGCACTGCACTGCCGGCAGAACAAAGAGTGACACTTGTCATCCTTTGTAACAAGGCTCTGAAGAAATGTATCCTTTGTTTGCACACAGTGCAAGGTCTGAGTTGCCTTCCCAGCAAAATGGTGATTATTTCTGAAATAAAGGTTTGGGTATGACCCCTATTGGCATTTAATGTGCTAATATGACTAAACTCAATACATTTTAACCTATTTTCACCCACAGCAGCACGCTTATCAGTATATTTAGCTCTAGCATACTTCAGATTTTTCCTTATGTTCCATGACAGCCAGACAGATATCCCCCTCCTCTCCTGCCCAAAGGCATTTTGTGCAACAAACGCAGACTATTTTTATATTCAGAAAATGGCATCTATTAAAGTACGAGCTTGGAATATATAAATATATTTTATAGCAAACTGGATAAGTAAACCAGAAAATAACAGATTAAAAGTAAATTATGGATTTCTATCTCTAATGCTAATCTTTCTAAATAGACATGGAAGGTAAGAACGATATGCCGTAATTAATTTACTTAAATTCATCAACATGTTGGTTTGGTTAAAAACATATTTTATATTCTGAATATTTCATTGTCAAATGCTCGGCAGCTGAGGTAAAGCATTTTCTTCTATTCCTCAAAACCATAAACCCTCAATAGTCTCCTTTTTGATTCAACAGATCTACACCCAAATTACTCTTAACATATGAGAGAGCAGAATCAGCCTCACTGAAGTTACCCCCGTGCACTGTTTTGTCAATGACAATTTCTATGGTTTGAAAAGATTAAGCAAATATAAGTTTGTAAATACAGCAAAACCTTACTTTAGACTAACTTACGGCTTTCGTAACTCCAAAACAAAAATTCACAACGTAAGAAAACTTCCAACAATCCTATAAGGAAGCTTTTCAATTCCAGCTGAAAACAATGGAAATCAATCAGATATTCATGGTCCTAACATATCATGGGAACAACCTCACAAGGTCACACAACAGTAATACAGATATACAAGCCTGTCTGTATTGAGCATCCATGACACTTCACGATGTCCCTGGAAGGCTTCTAAGCCTTTTACATCCTGGTAGTTTACTAACTCGAAAACATTTTGCTGTATGTGAAGCACAGAGATGGAGAGACAGCTGTGCATACACAATGTTCAGATACGCTGACATTTGTTACGAGTATCTGTTAAGCCTAGATACTGTATTTTCAATTAGCGCCTGAAATAATGCATCTGAACTCAATGTCTTTTAGAAAACAAAACGCAGTTGAGGCATTTCATCAATTGCATTTGAAAAATACACCTCTAAATGCCCACTGAAAAAAAAAAAAAAAAAAAAGACAACCAGGGCAAGAGGTGTGCTGCAGATGTAGACACAAACCTGCCCCACTTGTAGGCTACCCCGGCTGATCGCTCTCCATGCACGCACTGATGTCTGCGTCCATCGGAGGCTGTCTACCCGCCTTCCTTTCAAATAACGGCCTACTGTTCTCCGGGGATCTATTTCGACGGCTATTTTCAAATAAAAAAATGGTGCTTATTCAATGAATTTCTTAGTAACCATTAACAACGAGTCACCGCAGGGCAGCCCCGTGCCACCGCACACCAAAGCAGCAAGGGCTGTTCACACAGCAGCGGGGACCGACGAGCTCAGGTCGCCCGAAGCCTGGCTCAGGCTGCCCAGGGCCACGGCCCGGGATCCGGGGAGGGGGACCCCGAGACAACCCGTGCCACTGAGCTCCTGGCCTGCAGCATCCCGGAGCGCTACAGATCTGCTCGCTCTCCACCCTATGGCAAACGCGCAGCACCAGCCAGCCGCACGCCTCCGTAAACCCAGCGAGCACAGCCGCCCGAGCAGCCCGCGCCGCAGCCCGGCCCCGCGCGAGGAGCGGCCCCGCAGCGCCTCCTGTCGTTGCGGGTGGCCAGCAGCGCACCAAGGCGGACGGCGGCGCTCGGAACCCCCGTGGAAGCGGCCGCTGGGCCTGGGGCAGCGGGACAGCGCCGGGTCGAGCGGGAAGCGCTCGGGAACCGGGCCGCGCGGAACAGCAGCCGCCTTCACCTGAGGTCGCCAGCACCTCGCAGGCGCCCGGCTCGCAGTAGATGGCGGCGAGGGCCGAGAGTTCCTCCAGCCCCTGCTCCGACATGGCCGCGCCCGCCCGCAGCCGGCCCCGCCTGCAGCTGCGCCAAGGGGCGGTGGCACGGCGCGGCCTTCCGCCTCCCCTCGGCTTAGGCGGGCGCGGAGGGCCGTGAGAAGGGCAGAGAGGTGCGAGACCTGGGCCAGCCCCGAGCCAGCTGCCGGCCGCAGGCTGCAGCGGGGCGGAAGCAGAGCCTCAGCTGCCGCGTGGCGCCGCCGCCATTTTGTCCGGCAGCCCCCGGGTGTCCCCCCGCTCCGGCACCGCCCGGCAGTTTTTTAAAAAAGGTTCCTAGGTATAAGAGTTAACATGACAATTTCTGGTATGCTCTACGCAGAGCCGTACCGCACAACAGCGCTTGTGAAAAGTAGTTACTGTGATGACCACCCATGTGCCAGAAGCTGGTCCTCCCCTCCCGCCGAGGCGCACGCAGGAACACGGAGCTGCCCCACGCAGCCACAGCTCGGCTTGGAAACGCAGCATGCAGTGAGCATACCAGAAATGCCATCAGAGCTGTGCTTCAGCTCCACATGGCTGAGCAAACCGCACAGAGAGATGCTGACGTGCACAGGTGTGCACATACATAGACATTGGTACAGCAGCAGTGATGGCAAGGAGTTCCAGGTCAGCCCCAGCTGTTGGCATCAGTACACAACACAGAGAGCCTCTGTGGAACTGGACTTTGCTCTTTCACAGTCAGTGATGGTGCGTGGATGGTTCTCCTGGATGGCTCTCATCTGGCTGAGGCCTGCTACAGGAATGACACCACATACAGCTATCTCAGGGGTATTATTTGGCGCTTTCCCCCAGCTGGAAACGCAACAGGAGGCTGAAAGGTTAGAGAGCAGTGGGCATGCGTCACTGAAGTTTGTTACAGATCACTTAGAAGCAAGGGATGGGTGGCTTATTTATTCAGCAAAGCATATCATACTATTTTTAATACCCTAAGTTCTGTTGAAATACCAAGAAATGCTGAGCGGGGAACAAGTGAATAACATGCACAGACGTAAGCCTGGAGCCGTCAGAAGCGCTGCAAAGCAGCAGTCCATGCAGCCGTTCAGAAGGCTTTGTGGAAATTAGCCTTAGAAGTGCTTCATTCTATTACTGAGAACTTTCTTGCCCCTGGTCTTTCCCCCTTCTCCTCATCCACTTTGCATATTCCATTTTACATGTTTAAATAAAAAAAGTCGATGTAAATGTCTTCTAAATTGACACTATCACAAGACATTGAGGTCCCTATGAATAAGTTACTGCACTCTGACATTTGGAAGTCATCAAATGAGACAGTATAATGTCAGCTTGATATTTTTCACACTATGAAAATATCAGCTCATGTCAAAGATCTAAATTCCATCTTAATGTAATAAATTTTCTTGTATTCACAGACTAGTGAAAATGCTAAATATTTAAATTTGAAATGAACTTCTACAGTTACGATCTGGCCTTCATATTCCATTATTATTAAACTGGAACTCAAGATCTATTTTCCCTTTTTTTTTTATTTTAATTTCTTCAAACATTACAGTGTTTGATAGAAAAGCATTAGCTATATTCATTTCTCTAAATGGCTGCTTTCCCATCAACACATGGCAAATAAAGTCCAAAAACCCCACTTTTTGGAGTTACTCTGTATTAAAACATCTCCAGCACCCTGTCATAAATTGATATACCACTGATTATATCAGTATTTTCCACTTTGCCTGACAAGGCAAACAGAACACAACCTTTCATATACCAGAAAGATTAATATCCCCAGTGTTATTTGCAGAAGTAGCATCCTTTCCTTTCCACTCACTGTAATTATGACTCCCAATCAATCAGGGGTTACGTTGACAATCACTAGCGATTACATATAAAAGCATGCATTTAGACCCACTCTCCCCTTAAACCAAGTTGTGAATGACAGAGAAGACAGACATTCGAAAAAAACACATTGATCTGGACCATCCATCTACATATTTTTGCTATCATTTTCATGCCATTCAACCTCCTGTGCCAGCTATCACAAATTATAAGCAGTCCTAAAGTATGTACTCTAGAATGCATTAAAGAACCACTAAGAGCCTGAAAATCGCTTGAGATGCCCATTCATGAATCAAACAATAATGAAAAACCCATAACCACAGCACAGGTGTGATGGCTCAGCTGCTGCTGGGAAAGAGAGAGCTGAAGGACAGCATCTCTACAGATCTCATTAAGAATTCATATGATCAGGTCCAATTTATCTGTTTATGCCTAAGTCCTGCGCCAGTTCTTTACCTTTGAATAGAGGCTGGTCCTAAGACACAGATACTTAAATAGAAAGTTATGCACCCCCAGGAATTGATGGTAGATCCAGGAACTTGCAAAGATTTTACCCAAATATACTTACACAGGTAAGAAAATCATCCACACAAGCTCAGGAAGCTATATGCCTAGATATACACATGTATAGGCATCTTCTAAACTAGAAACATGGCTAATTTGAAGGGCCACTTCCATTATATAACAGCATTCTAGAACCCTATCAAATACAACTTCATGAATCCAAGACTAATAAGAATACCCAAGTGATTCACATCATCTTTGAACTACTCCACAGTGTTTTGCCTTGGTTATCAGGACAGAGTAAAATATATACTAAACATACGCTATATTTATACCTTTGGATAAAAAGAGAAAACAAATTACCTTAACTCATCCAGCCTTCTGTGATATCATTTATAACGTACACCCAGAAATTATCAGCTTGGAAGATTCTGTTTCATTTCTTCAGAGTAAGCATCATAACAAGCACTGGAACAATGTTACCTGAACAAAAACGTTTATTAGGGAACATACTGAAAATACTGTTCGGACACGAACACCGCTTGACTTAGTATCTCTCTCAGTGAAATTGGTTGATGTGAACATTTTGGTTAGAGCCCAAAGCGGGAGGCTGTGGCTCCTTACAGTTGGAATGAAGTAATTTTAACTCTGTAAATAAAACTGATAAAAGAAGTATTTTTTCCTAAGGTAAAATTCAGCCTTTTCATAGCATTTCACTCCTTACTTTCTGAAAGTTAACAAATTCTCATATATAAGATCTATGTAATTGGAGAGAAAAAAACATTTTCTATTGCTTTTTCTTGTATTTTAGAAGCAAGTTTTTCAAGGATTTGTGGACTAGCAGTGCTTTTTAAAGGCCCTCATATTTACCCTCCGTGTATGAAACTGTTCCAAGTCAATTCCCTAAGACACTTAATCGTTCGAGAGATGGAAACTCATTTTGAACATCTAATGACCAATTAAAGCATTAGTTATCCCTACAGACAGGAGACCTATGGGGTTGTGGTCTTCAGAAAGAAGTAAGAACGGCAGCATGTCAGAAAAACTGCTAAAATGTTATGAAGTTACCACAAAATTGGCAAAATACTGGAAAGCAAAAATCATTACCAAGTCCGTGATGCTTTCTTGCTGTTTTTTTCCTTGATATTTTGAAAACAAATGTGATGGTTTCTAGTATGTAAGAGAAGTTATTACCCAAACTGGAATGTCAATACAGGAAACAGTATCTATTCCTTTAGATTTTTTTACATGGGACCTAAAAGTAATCCCAACACTTTCAATATATTTATATTACCCTTTGAAAATCTGATCCATTCAGAGTCCATTTATAAACATATGCACACATGCTGCAAACATGTCTTGTGAGCAGCTCCTGCTGATACCAACACAACCTTTTGGAGCAGTAAATAACTCATCTCTGCATGTATGCTCAAGAGTTTGGAGTCAGGACTAGTATTCTGCATACAAGTTTTTGTACAGTTTGATGTGCAAGGATTAAGACTAAATAGATGCAACTGTTACATTCATTAAAGAAATTAAGATTGTTTGAGATGACAGACTATGATCATTTTCAGAGCAGTGAAAGATCCTTGGCTGCTCTCAAGCCTTTTGGAGATATAACAATATTCATAGACTAAAATTTGTCCTTCAGTAGTTGTTTTCAGAGCACACTGATGTCCAGAGAGTGAATACATTATGTAATTGTCATTACTGTCCCCCTTTACACTAAACTAACGTGTCTCTTTCACATGACAACTTAAAAATGGTAATCCAGAACACTTAACTTTGGCAGTAATATATATATATATTATATATATATATATATCAGTCATCAACAACAGACACAAATATCTTTTTATCAGTGATATAATCCCTTTCTTCTACAGCTAAATAGGGCAGAAATTCTAGGGCTTGGATGAAAAAAAGGAGTTACGACTGTCAGCGTAATACTGAAAAGGAGAAACAGTTATTTCTAAAGGAGGGAGGGGAAAAGAAAGGTGATAAGAGATACATCCCCTCTTCCAAACTGCCTAATACAACACAGTGGCAAAATATCACCATGACTCCATCAAGGAACTACAGGTATCCCACCACAAGGCTGTGAATTAATGCTAGTTACCAGGTATTCATGTTGGCCACACGCTAAGAGTACACAGTGTAGAAAAGCAGAGAACTAGGCCATCTCTAAGCAGGGAAAGCATAGTCAGCCCAGCAGGCACGTTTGGTGTTCCTCCGGATTGGCAGCGCAGTGCTGGGCACTGTTAACTGCAGGGCAGCCACCTGAAGCAATGCAATGGCAAGAGACCAGAGGAGTTGAATGCAGGACAGTCTCATACTGCAGAAAGATCAGCATTACTCTTGGCTACATGCACATTACCCAAGACCTGATTACCTGGACTGCTATGCCAGAGTCCTTTTCCACTGATCTTGAAAGAGCCACAGAGATTGCAGTTTCTGAGCACAGTATCTTTGAAGAACACATTTTCAACTGCAGACCCGCTGTGTTAAATCCAAGAACCAAATACAAGAGGTGAAGGAGAGCTTGGACATGGTAAAGCAGAACACAGGTGAACTGTAGACAACCTAAAGCAGAAAATGGCAGATTTCCTTATGCCTCACTGCTTGTAGAATATAAACTTAATTAATTTCGAATGATTACTTTAAAAAACTAAAACCTTCCATTCTGCAGAAGTTATCTGGATTGAGGATGAAAATATTTGTTGTCATATGTTCTTGTTCTGGCTGGCTAATGCTTAAGTTAGTCCTTAGTTTTCGATTCTCTCTTCACCTAAATATGAGTAGTGCCTATTGAAAGATCTGTTTAATTGGCTAAAAGAAGTTATCTCATTTGGCCCATGCAAGAGCTCATATTAACAGTTCTTAGAACTACAAATATGATCACAAATACCAAAGTTAAGAAAAGTAT